CTGCTACACAGACGTCTGTCACGTGAACTTGTGGGTATCGCCATTGTGTTGCTGCCGTACGGAACCCCTATGCGCTCAGATAGGGTTGTGCCAAGCATCGCATTCTGTGCGGAAATTCTTCTGCGAGGTGGTGGTGCGACGCAACTCTTATCGTGTAGGCGTCATCCACCTTTTATTCTTATTTCAGATAACCCGTGTTTTGTACGGTATCTTATACAGCGAAGGCGCATTGGTCAGGAGCCGTTTCTGACAAAGGTGCACGTGGACGAAATACAACTGTTTCCACGTTTTCGTCTCAGTGTGATGCAGCATTTTGAGCAGCTTGCAAAGGGGCGGCCATTGAACGTGGAATGTGTTGCTGTAGGCGTGTCGTCCAGCATCACCGCTATCGACGGGCTGCTCTGTCAGGTCATAAAGGAGGTCATTAGAGAGCTCCATGCTCTTGAGGCACGTTTGGGTCGAACACTGGACGGCAGCGGCAGCGGCAGTAATGACAACAGAAGTGGCAATATCAATAATGTGAATAATAATAGTCTTGACGCGGACGATCCATTCTCGCGTCTGCAGCCCATATCGCGGCGGCAACGGTTGGAAAAACAACCACCACGTTATGTGCGAAAGCCATGGGTGGTGCCATCAGATCCTACCGTCATTCTTTTTGGGTGTATCCGTGAGGAGGATGCTGTGGATATTGTGGATTTCACTCTGGATGACGACTTGGACTGTGCCTTACGTGCAAATGGACCCTGGTGGCCGTTCGGCCGACTCGTTGAAAGCCTCCTTGACGTTCGTCGATTGCGGCGAGGAGTCCGACGTCTCTCTCCGTTTTCGTGGTTATTTGCTCTTGAAGCGGCACTGACAGCACGCATGGCACGCCAAACACGAGATGTGACTTCGGCAAGGGCATTCACATGTCAGCCGCCCGATGCACCGTGGACGTTGTCACAACATTTTAGTCCAATCGTTACGCTGGCGATTCACCGCATCGGTAAAGTGGAAGTGAGTATTGGGAAGAAGAAGGGAAATGATTTCGACAGTCACAGAAACGGCGATTGCATGAATAAAGTTCGAGATTATGTTGTTGTGGAGGATGTGGAGATGGTGGGAGAAGAAGAGGATGTCGTATGTGTGGAGCCAGCGACATCGCAGCGTTTGCTCCTACCGCGCAGTGATGAGGTGGATCCATGCATGGAGTTTGCAAACCGCGTTATACAAGGGTGGTGCCGAGACACACAACGTGGACGGACTGCAGGGAATGCATCGAATCCCGTGTTTTTACTGATTGTTTTCGGTGAGCGCGCGCTTCGTCGCTATGTATGCCGCCTCACACACACTCTAGAGGATTTCCAGACATTTGAGTTGAACGGTTTTGTTGCGGCTTACCAAGCGAGACATGGTGCTGACATACGCCGACGTGCAGAGGCCCCAGCGACGGAGAAGACAACACATGTGAACCTGCGCACTTGGTTTCTCGCAAACAATGATGAAGTTATGGAGGAGGATGAGGAGGATGAGGAGGTTGCAGGGAATCATAATAATGATGACGAAGATGTTGGAAGTGAGGTTGGGAATGCCGTGAAAAAAGGAGTTGGCATTTGTATAGAGAAGACACCGACGCGTACCCTCTCGCAGGGTCCAAGTTTTCTTTTTTCTCAAAGCAGTAGGTTAAGTCATAACCCCGCCATCAGCAATGATGGGAGTGGCGGAGCGGAGAGTGTTTCATTGCATCAATTACTTCTGAGTCAAGCTCCACTTACGCCGCCATCAGAGGAAGAAGAAAAACAACAAAATGAAGAAAAACAAAGGGAGAGAAGGCACCCCGGGACTCTGTTGTGCCTGGACTCTGTGGGTGCTGGTATTGCTCTCTTGTCTGTGGCGTCTTCCGATTGCAACTTGCCTTCACCTTCTCTACGTGTGGCGGTGGTGAACGGGTCATTGCTATGTGCATCCGAATTGATTTCGATGGTGAAAGGGGTTCATGATGCATTCGCGTTACCGACACGAATTCTTGTGGTGGAGCAGGAGCTCCGCTTCCTTCGCATGTTGGAGATGACCCAAGACGCATTAGAGCCGCAAAGTTTGCGTCAATTGCGGGTGCAGGTGCTAGTGGAGCAATTGCATGAATCGCCGGTCACGGATCGGGTTTTGGAAGAGGAGCGTGAGGCCTTTGAGGCGCTGGCACATGCCAAGGCGACACTGACAGGATCACTTTTAGCAGACAGGGACACGCTACGCACGGTGCAGGAAAACCTGGATTCGGGGTTAATTCTTCAGAAAAACTTGGGTCGGAGACAACAGGGCCTGCCGGGTCTTTGCGGGAATGAATTGCGTGAAGTGCAAACGTCCGCAGTGAGTGGCTCCGCTCCCACGACAACAACCGCTTTGGAGGCTCCGCTCGTTGTGTTTGACGAGCGTGAGTTGCGATCACTGTTGCCGTACGCTTTGTACCGTCGCGGCATTGAACTTGTCCCTCTGACGCTTGCGACAGCCGACTATGTTTTGTCTCCATTGTACGCGCTGGAACGGAAGAGTGCTCCGGACTTTATCCAGTCGTTGTTTTCAGGTCGCATCTTCACGCAGCTCGCAGCTCTTTCCCGACGCTACGAGTTTCCAATGTGTCTTGTTGAATTTGATCGTAGTGCACCGTTTCGCTTGTCTTTTTCATCCCCCTCACCTGCCGCCACAAGCGACGTCTCAGGCCCTGTGGCTCATTTTGAAGGTGGTGGACTGTTCGCAAGGATTGCACGTCTCTATGCTTCTTTTCCACGGGTGCAGGTGTTGTGGTCACGTGATCCAACACAGTCGGCGGGTATCATACATGAGATGAAGCGCACATGTGCACGGGAGGCGGTGGATCCAAGCACGCCATCACTCACACGTGGAAACATCGATCCGCACGACTCCGCCATGGAGAAGGAGGCGTCACATCTTGCGGCCCGTGTCTTGTCATGTTTCCCGGGCATTACACCGGGCAATGCAGCACGAGTCATGGCAGTTTGTGGCTCACTTGCGGGGCTTGCCACTATTGACGAGTCTGCACTCGTGGAAGCCATGGGAGAGGAAAACGCC